TAGAACAAAAATTTAAACTGTATCAGAAAGAGAAAGAGTGGCAGTTTATTTTTCAATCGAAATTGAAAAATCGATTTTAGCGTCGATTTTCGTGAAGTGACCCCCTTAACATTTCAGGAATCAGCAAGAATCGTCTTTACTTCATCCAGATATGTTTTCGACCTTAAGGTATCCGACTACATTCGGAACCGTGATTTAGCAAAAGCGTATAAATGGATAATATTTATGATATTTAGCGTCACTTAGATTAGACAATTTATATAAAACTGGGTTAAGAATAGTATTACAATAAAAAATTATTTAAGCACAATATTTTTACAAAAAAATAACTTAGAATAACCTTTTTTCCAAATATTCTCCTTTTGTAAAAAATGCTTCTATTGTATTAATATTTTGCCTTTATTCAGCTCAGACCTCTGTACAGAGGCTCAACTAGAATTTTTGAAACGCATAATTTGGAAGTCGGTTTATCCATGTTTTACGAAAACAGAAGGGAGAAATTTGAAGAAAATATGCTGATAATTATTTCAAATGATTGTAACTCTGAAAATAATGTGAATGTTTCAAAAATCATAGTTGAGCCTCTGAACAGAGGTCTGAGCTATGTACAGGCAAAATATTAATACAATAGAAGCATTTGTTACAAAAGGAGAACATTTGGAAAAAAGGTTATTCTAAGTTCATTTTTTGCCAAAATATTGTATTTAAATAATTTTTTTTGTCATAAGGTCCTTAAAACAATTTTATACATGTATTATAATCTAAGTGATACTAAATATCATGAACATTATCCATTTATCCACTTTTTTAAAATCACGGTTCCGAACGTGGTCGAATTCCTTAATACTTTTTCTGAGATGCACAGTTAATTAACCAATGCAATCATTTTAAAAAGGTGCTGCCCTCCGGAACCTCTCACTTCCACAATGTGGCCCTCGAGCCAAAACAATTACCTAACCCTGACTTACGACAAAGTAAAATATATATGAAAGATATTACAGTTTTTCCTTATAATTTTAAAAACCATTAAACGTACCATTCACAGTTTGACAAACTTATATGCAAGACGATACTGCGTCTTCTTGACGTCAAAGATATCAGTTAAAAATAAAAATAATTTTACCCGTTCAAGAACGTTTTTCTGAGTCGAGTTTCCAACCTTGACCCAAGATCCTCCGCTCGTATCT